GGCGAGATGGCCGAGTTGGTTATGGCGTCAGGTTAAGGCTACCTTAACAGCAATTCCTGGTGGAGCAATCCGCGTGGGTTCGAGTCCCACTCTCGTCAGTTGATCTGTTTGCGCTTTGCCTCTCAGAATGAGGCGATGCGGAGATTAAATCTCCAGGTGCCTCTTTTCCTTTTTTTGTGTGGAGGGTCAGTATAACAAAATGAATGGCGTCGTCATGAAGCCTATAAATAGGTAGGTGGGTGAACGGCTCCCCATACATCATACCATATAAGTTAGGTAGGATCAATATGGGATTCTTCGTAGCAATACATTTTCGGTGCCGGATGAACGCTTCCAAGAGGATTGGCGACTGCAGAGATTCAGACATGCTTGTCATCATCCGTCGAAATGGCGCTGCTTCTGTTGAATGCACTGTCGGCTGAGATGCACTTGATATCAATCCGTTGTGGCGGTGACTTGGCTTCCATCGTGTCTGTTTTACATCAACTGTCCAAGTCGATGAGATGAATGTCCGGTGCTCTGCTGTACGGGACCTGTTGACTGCACAGGCCATCTCCCCGCTAGGCTATCAGGGGAGCAGTCCCCACGATACGATGCCCGCCTATTGACATGATGGAGGTCATTCCGATCGTCTGCCCGAACCGCACAAGACATCAACTAAAATCACCAACAGCCGGCTCCGTCTTGAATTCGGCTTGCCAAGAGTCAGGCAGCTGTTGCCGCTCATGCGCCGGGCTTGAAGCAAAAGCACGAGACTCGGTTCCTTTTCTGGCCAAATCACGCTTGCGGCTGTCAGTTGCTGATAGTGCATGGCTTTGACTGAGACACTGCGAAATGCACCGCATCTAGCTCATGTGCCTTTTAGTGCTACTATACCGACCTAGTAGGAGTTCTCAGGGTGTATACTCTGCTCCTTGTTCCTTATTTCGACATCAACAAATCGCGAATCTTTTGATTCCTCAAACTCCAAGCTCTCTCGTCATTTTAGTTTAGTGGCGTCGGCTTCCCCTGTCTGCCTATGACTCCCCCTTGCCAAAAGCCAAGCGTTGGCATCAATGCCGAGATGCTAAGTTTCGCATCTGCAGGTCTGCTGACGCTCCTCCACACCACAGCCAATGCAGCTGATCCCGCTCAGCCTTGCTGGCTGTGGTTCCTTTTTCCTCCTACCGGCGTCACCAAAGACTTTAGCCAGCCGATGTGTCAGAGATGCGGTCTGACTTGCTCTCTCGCGCTGCTGAGACGTGTCCACCCTTCTATCGTAGCAACGTAGCCGAACATGTGATGGCTGGCTGCATTCTCGTGGGAATTTTTTCCCCGGGTGCCTGCAGCTGCAGCTACTGCTTAGCCTTTGCGAGGTGCCAGGGATGAGTCGAGCGGAAAAAGTACTAATATGTTGACCGGCATGTCGTTTAGCTCACCACCATCGTCTAGAGCTGCAGCGTCTTCATGCAGCTTGTTTCAGCCCTACTTTGTTGGTAGGCTGTTGTTCTTTGTTCCTTTGAATCCTTGATGCTCGCACTCTAGTATACGTAGCGACTATATTATTGGCTCGTTCCACGTGCTATATTATGCCGCCAGTTTCCCCTTCTCCCGCCTTGGCCTTGAAGCCTGCAAAGCGCCCAAATGGTGCCTCATCAAAGTCCTTCATCATGAGCTCCGTCACCGAGTTCTACCGCTCCCAAATCGGCGGCGAATCCGTCATCAACTACGCCTACACCGACTTCCCCTGGCGGCTCCTTGCCAAAGACGTCTATTACTTCTTTGCCTACTGCTGGGCTCTGCCCTGGGTTTTGTTTCCTATCCGCACCTATGGCTCGGACGAGCTTGATGAGCTGTATCCATCCTGGATGAACATGTTCTGTCTCGCAGTTCACGTCTTCCTGCTCATCTTCCAGCTCATTTATCTTGTCACTCTGCCGTTAGCCATCTTTTTCCCCGCGTGGATGGGAATCGCTGGTATTGTGGCCTTTCATTTTCTAAACAGATTCGTTTGCATGCTGCTGAATGGCACGGAAATCATCTTCCACTCTGATGAAAAGTACGCAAAGACACGACCAGAGCACGAACACGAGCAGTGGGTATTTTTGAATGGCGTCTCCGTCGGGTAAGTCTCTCATCACGAAAACGTTGATGTTGTATCATTGGTTCGCTTTCTAACGTAAACAATTAATGCAGCCAACACTGGATGAAAATGAATCTTAATCGTCTTGCTCTCACATTTGGACGCCCAATTCTCGGCATCCACAATCGGACTTCTGGTGTTATTTTCGACGTCATCGAGTGTCTTATACAGCGCAACTTCTCATACGCAACTGGCGATATTCGTGTCTGCTATAGGCACCTCAAGGATATTCTCTATGACCCGAAAAAGTCAAAGGTCGTCTTCATCATGCACTCCCAGGGAGCCATAGAAGGCGGCATGGTTCTGGATTGGCTCCTTCAGGAGATGCCCCAAGATCTACTGGCAAAGCTCGAAGTATACACCTTTGGTAGCGCCGCCAACCATTTCAATAATCCGCACCGCCACGTCATTTCGCAAGATTTGACCCGGTCAAGGCCCCTTGAGGCGATGCAGACGCTCGTCTCCGAGGCCGCCTACGAAACTCCAGTCACCACCCCGCTGGAGATCAAGAAGGATCCTATGATTACTGCTTCCGTACGAAGGTCGTCTTCTTTGGCTTCTTACCACACCGCATCTGCGGCCAAGGATAGAGCCATTGGCCATATCGAGCATTATACCCACAACACCGACTTTGTCGCCATATGGGGCATCCTCCATTTTGCCACGAACAAAATGGCCTGCCTGCAGTTGCCTCGGTTCCTTGGCCGCCTTTTCAACCGGTCTAACGGTCACGGCGGACATCTTCTTGTCCAGCATTACCTGGACGGCATGTTCCCTCTGAAGCGCGACCCGGAAACCGGCGAGTTTACAGGAGCGGACGAAGAAAACGAGTTCATGGAAGAGGTCATCAAGTTTGGTGTCGAGGGTACCGCCATGGAGAACGCACGAGAGGCCTTTGAGATCAGCTATGGAGGCACAGGAGGGTTCGGAACGGGCGAGATAACGACCCCCATCGAGGTTTACGACCAGTTTTCTTCGCGCAAGAGACACAAAAAGGACGTCAAAGTCAAGGAGCTCAGCAGGCTTTGGATGTACAGGAACGGGTTGAGCCCGCCTGAAACATCGCAAGTCTTGCCGGCCGAGTTGGTGGGTATAGCGAGGAACTTTTCGATCTGAATGGGTTCATCGGTGGCGTACGGGGCATCTTGAGGATTTCTCACCACAGAGTTGACTTTACGTCGTGAGCATGTATGAACATGATTTAAGCAGCATTGGCAAGTTAATCTTGTCTTTTTTTTTTTCCTTGTTGCAATTTCTTTTCATATAGATTGAGCTAGATACCTGAGGACATATGCATGGGCTCGGGATCCTTCCCTCCCTTTTCATGAAATCATGAGTGCTTTTTGATACCAAATGCGAGTCATCATACCAAATTTGCGTCAAAGGGAGTACGTACATGAATCCACAAAGAAATCACGGAAGCAAAAAGGAGTAAAAGAGACAAAAAGAAAAGATATGACGAGAGTGGGACTCGAACCCACGCGGATTGCTCCACCAGGAATTGCTGTTAAGGTAGCCTTAACCTGACGCCATAACCAACTCGGCCATCTCGCCAATCACATCGGTTGAAACTCGGGGCGCGTAGTGCATACTATCAAGGTGCAGCGATGAGCTGATCATGCAGAACAAACTGTAGTCGTGGACGCCTACCCTGTGACACGATGATGAAAGTTGATAAAAAGGCATGGTGTACCAAGATACGGGCTAGTTTTGTGAATAAATGCATATGATATTGATTAACCAAAATTGCACACTTGCTGTGATTTCACAAAAGGGGAACAACAAGGGTGGCCAGGGTGAAGCTGTCTTGTCATGGCTTTATCACGGGTAGCCATAGAATGGATGTCAGTGCTAGAGGTTAACGATAGCATGAAAACACTCTGGATGTTACGTCAAGTGCAACACTAATACCAAGAACCAACAGGTTAGGAGATGAACTAAGTTGGTGATGGGCCGAGATTGTACAAGTATCCAGTACGCATCCGTGAATATATTCACGCCTACTCACGCTGTCAAAGTAACCTCCAGCCTCGTTTGACCCGAATTCACGACCGAGGAGCAAATCAAGGCTGCAGCAGGCAGGACGTGGCGAATTGTGGCGACCTTGGGAGTGGTTCAAGAGACTAAAAACGCAGCCAGCGAATCCAATCGCCCGCCTACCCCTCCATCCCATCTGCCAATCCAGCGGAACTTGCAGCAACCAGCGCAGGTCGGAATTCCATCATGGCGAGTCTCTGCCTAGCGGAAGCTTGTTTGCGATGACGCACTGAAGTCTCGAATGCAAGACCTGGACCCCTAGTTTAAAAGTATTTAATTTTTGCCCTGTTTTAGTTGGTGAAACCGCCAAAAACAACTCAATCTCTCTCTCTCTGTTTCTCTCTCTCTCTCATATCTTCCTTCAAGCGTTGCGCCCCGTTCGGTGTGCCGCTATTTATTACCTGCAGGATTCACTACTGACTGGCCTGCTCACTTATACTAGGGCCCTTTCCGTCCTGACGACCGTTGCTACGAGGCTTTGTTTTTTTTCTTGTCTCTCCACCCCCACCCATCTTCCCAACTACCTACCGTCAACACTTTCTTCGCCTTCTTTTCTTTTCCTCCGCCGTCATTGCGACATCGCAGCCACAGAAAGCAGCAACGACGACTCCAGGGGAGCAAAGGCGCATCCACCTGCCACCATGTTCGTCCTTAGAAACGGTATGTAAAGACATCATGTAAAGACATGACGTGAATGCAGCATGCAGCCGCCGCGACTCCGCCGATGCGCTGCCCTATAAAAGCCCCGCGATTTCCCTCTTTCTTAGATTCACGCCTTTTCCTCCTACGAGGCTTGCCGTCATCTCTTGTTTTCCTGTGCACACAACTTCGCTCCCACTAACACTCGTCTCCTCCTAGTTGGCAAGCTGATCTTCGGCTCCGCTACACAAGAATCCCTCATTGAGCTCCCTCAAGGCCAGCTCTACCTCGTCCGACCCCTCTCACCCAAGGGCTACTCAGAGCTCATCTTCAAGGACTCTGCCATCCGTATCCGTCGAACCAACCAAGACTTCCAATACCAGCTCGTTGTGCAGCGTGTGTTTGAGGAAGGAGAAGCTGAACTGCTCGCCGACGAGGAGGGTGAAGACGCAGAGATCGACGCTCTCGTTGGCGAACGCGACGAAAAGACCTTTCTGCTCGACGAGGCCCTGCACTTTCGCATTGAGATCAGAGAGGGCGGCGACGAAACCGTCCTCGCCTGGAAAGACTTGAGCGGAGACAACGGCGATCTCTACGAGTTTGTGTGCGACAGCGTTGTCACAACTGCAGAGGCGAAGCGTTTTCTTCAGACGGCCCAGGAGTGCCAATACGAGCGAAAGTACCGCAAGCCGCACACGACAGCCTCGGACGAGGATCTTGAACAATTCGAGTTCCCCGAGGAGCAACCCATCCCTCCCGCTAGCCCCATTCACAGCCCGACTCTCACCAGGTCCATCGACTCTATCGACGACATGTTCGCCAAGAGGACTGTCAAGCGGGAACCCGCGGCGGCGGAGCCCTTAGAGGAGCCCCAAGAGGTGGAAATCGAGGCTCCCCAGAAAGCATTGGGATCAACTGCCGCTCCGAAGCCTCTTGAGATCTATGCTGCTGTGTCTGGCGAATTGCATCTCTATGATCCACAAGCAGGGCACTTTTCCCAGGTTGAAGATTCCGTTATTGCCGCAGTATCTGAAGTTGGGAAATGGGAGTATTGGCTGCAGCTTGATGCTGCAGGAAAATCAATTCTGGGCACCTTTGTTACTCCCGAAATCAACCCTGTATTCGACTTTGAGCATCTATCCTTCATTTTCAACCACTGGGCGGAAGATGGAACCGGAAGGTCTTGGCTGCTCCGTTTTAAGGATCAGCCAACCCTGGAGAAGTTCCAGGAAGGTGTGATGCAGGCCATTTGGGAGAAACTCAATGAAACCAAATGGAAGAAGATTCAGGAGAAAGAGCGCGAGTATGTCTTGGATGCATTCAACGACCTCGCTATGGAGGATGCCCCGACAGAGGAGGAAGAAGAGGAAGAGGTCGAGGAAGAGCCTGAATATGAAGAGGACGAAGACGAAGACGAAGGGCAACAGGAGTTGTCTGATGGAGAAGTCAACTCCCAGCTTGCCGTGGGCTACAAACATGACCGCTCCTTTGTTGTTCGCGGCTCCAAGATTGGAGTCTTTACCCACACTCCGGATAATCATCTCAAGTTCTCCACCAATATTTCCAAGGTGACCACCCCTGGAGGTAAACTGATGAACCCCAAGAAGGTCATGCTTCACAAGGAGGATAGAGATATGATTATGCAAAACGACGTGGACCCGAACAAGCTCTATCGCATGGACATTGAGTATGGCAAGGTCGTCGATGAGTGGAATGTCCATGACGACATACCCGTCACAACATTTGCTCCGGAGAACAAGTTTGCGCAGATGACCGGAGAACAGACGTTCCTGGGTATCTCTCACAATGCCCTTTTCCGAGTCGACCCTCGCCAAGCGGACAACAAGATTGTCGAGTCAGAGCTGAAGCAGTACGTATCGAAGAACGATTTCTCTTCTATTGCTACTACCGGGAAGGGCTACATCGCTGTGGCCAGCAACAAGGGTGACATTCGCCTGTTTGACCGTCTTGGAATCCGAGCCAAGACGCAGCTCCCTGCCCTTGGTGATCCGATTACTGGCATGGACGTTTCGGCTGATGGCAGATGGATCTTGGGAACTACCAAGAACTACATCCTCCTCGTCGACGCCCAGCAGCATGGTGGAAAGAACGAGGGAAAGCTTGGTTTCGAAAAGCCATTCGCCGCCGACTCGAAGCCCCGCCCTCGTCGTCTGGCTCTTTCACCGGAGCACGTCGCTCAGTTTTACCACGAGACTGGCCAGCCCGTGTCCTTCACGCCTGCCAAATTCAACGCTGGTGAGGATGCAGAGGAGACGAGTATCATTACCGCCTCTGGACCGTACATCATCGAGTGGAACCTCAAGCGGGTTATTCGCGGCCAGAAGACGCCATACAAGATTAAGCGATACGAAGAGAAGGTCATGGCTGACGACTTCAAGTTTGGCTCGGACAAGAATGTCATTGTTGCTCTGCCCAACGAAGTCAACATGGTTGCCAAACAGAGCCTCAAGATGCCTACCCGAGAAAGCATCATCGGCGACGTCCGACTGCTTGGTAGTGGACGGAGGTCTTCGGGGCGAATTGGCAACGCCAAGAGCGGCCAGTATAAGCTCGGAAGAGATGACATCGTGGAGTCAGCTTATTAAAGCGTTGGCATACATGTCGAATCTTTGATCATATTCAAAGTATATGAGGTGGGATATTGAAGGAATGGGAGGTAGAAAAGGGATAGGATGAGATGATATGATGATGATGACGGGATACCACAAGTTGCTTTACATAACGCGGTCAGGGTGGGAGAAGGGAGTTTCCTGGGGTCATGATGCTTTCTCGAGTTTTATTATATTTCCGCTTAGATACCTGTGTGTCATGCGTAGTACATTTTTGACCGACGAATAATGCCAAGGACGTTTATTCGGATTTTGTCAATGGTGGCTGCGGATGCACATGCGATTGATGATGCCAGGGATACTAGATAGCCTCAATACAAATATGTTTTTTTTTTTAAAAAAAAAACAATATGATTGGAAAACACTGCAAGAAGAGGAACTGAAAATTAATCATGTTCAAGAATAACTCATACATACACATATTTTTTTATTCGCTAACCCAGCGTAAACAAAAGAAAATAAAGAAGAAGCAAACATTCCTCGGGCTACCTTAACACAATGATTAGAAGAAGAAGAAGCAACCCCCCGCAGACGAAATACAGCAACATCAGCCATTGACCTATTCAGACGATTCCGGCTGCTCGGTGCCTGTTACCAGGTCCTTGGCACCCTCGGCCACCTGCTTCACCTTTTGACCAAGACCGACGACGGCGCCGGCAACGTTTCGCAGCGTCTTTGTCTGCGCGCTTTCCGAACTGAGGCGAGTCATCTCCGCCACGAAGCTGGCTCCCCACCAGGCACTCGTGTACTTGAACACGTAGCGCTCGAGCTTGCGGTAGTTGGCCTCGCGCTGCTCGGGACTCATGGTGACGGCGTCGTGGATGGCGTTGGCGAGCTCTTCAGTGTTCCAGGGGTTGACGATGAGGCTTCCGTTAAGAGATTGAGCGGCACCCGTAAACTCACTGAGGATCATGACGCCGTGGTTGTCGCGCTGGGTGGCGATGTATTCGTACGACACGAGGTTCATGCCGTCCCGCGTGGACGAGACCAAGCACACGTCCGAGACGGCATATAGAGCGGTGAGCTCTTCAAAGGAGACGGACTGGTGGAGGAAGTGGATGGGCATGAACTCGATGGTGCCGAACTTGCCGTTGATGCGGCCGACGAGTTCGTTGACGACGGCTCGGAGGTTCTGGTATTCCTCCACATCTTGCCGGGATGGGACGGCGACCTGGACGAGAACGATTTTGCCGATCCACTCGGGGTGCTCTGTCAAGAAAACCTCGAGGGCGTGCAGCTTCTGGGGCACGCCCTTGATGTAATCGAGGCGATCGACACCAACAATGAGTTTTACGCCCTCAAACTTGCGGCTGAGGGTGGCGATACGCTCCTGGACCTTGGGTCTCTGGAGGCCTTCGACAAACTTCTCCGGGTCGATGCCGATAGGGAACGCACCGACTGTAACAAAGCGGCCGTTCCAGTCAACACCGTTGGGGGTGGTAGGGGTATCAAGGATTCGGGAGCAGCTGCTGAGGAAATGGCGAGCGTAGTCGTATGTGTGGAAGCCAATGAGATCGCAGTCGAGGAGACCGGTGAGAAGGGCCTCTCGCACGGGCAGGATGCGATAGATCTCGCTGCTGGGGAAGGGCGTGTGCAGGAAGAAGCCAATCTTGACATCCTTCTTGGAGTCGCCAATCTCCTCCCGCAGCATTTGAGGCAGGAGCATCAAGTGGTAGTCGTGGACCCAGATAAGATCGCCGTCTTGTACGTCCTTGATGACGGTCCTGGCGAAGAGGCGGTTGACTTCCTGGTACGCAGCCCACGCGGATTCGTCAAAGGTAATTTCACCGGGGTGGTAGTGGAAGAGTGGCCATAGGATGGAATCTAAGCCGAAAAGAAGATGGATATGTCAGCATCGATACGAAGGCTTGGAATAAGGAACCGAGCGAAACCCACTGGCAAAGCCATTGTAATGTCTGTCTGCTAATTCGTCGTCGATGAAGACGGGGTGAGCGCCGTATTCGTCCTTGAGACGTTTCTTCATGCCTTCGACTTCGTTCTCGGGGACTTCGAGGCCCGGCCATCCATACCACTGGAAGCTGGTCGTTTTGCTGAGGCCGCTGAGGCCAGTGACCAGTCCACCGGACGACATGGAAAAGCTGTAGCTTCCATCGTCGGAGCGCTTGATGGTGATGGGAAGACGGTTCGAGAGGAGAAGGAGACGACCCGGGTTCGCGGCCTCTCCGCCTGATCCAACAGCAGCAGGCATGGTGTTGCTTGATACGCCGAAGCTCTTGTTCGTGGCTCGTCGGTCGAGATCCAGCTCCTCGATTCAGCTGGGCGAAAGGATTCGAAGTGGAAGCTATTCGGTACGACAACAGTGGCGGCGACTAACAGATTGGCTAGGGTTAAGGCGTGGCAGCTGATTGATGGCTCGGGATGACGTTGATTCGAGTCGTAGCTTGAGAGCTGAGCCCAGGCAAAAAAAGCTTCGGGAGGCGCACGGCCAGGCGGCCTTTTGGGAGAATCCTTCTAGTCGCTATCGCGTGAAGGCACGCGCAACCATCGGGCGCTTGGCAGGGCAGACGAGTGAATTTGCCACAATCCTACCGGGAGCTGAGAATGGAGGGGGAATCGAGTTGCGCGTATGGTTGTGTTAAAGCTTACATGTGTGTTATGTCGCATCAATCCAACTTATATAACGTGAAAGCTTCGAGGAGGGGCAAAGGCGGCACAGGCTTTGCTTAGCAGGGAGGGGGAGGGGCAGCTTTGGGGCCCTTGTTAGTGGCCCATGGCCCGTATCAGCACAGCTAGAGGCCTAAAGCAGGTTATGTTGCATTACAGCTACCTGACGCAGTCACACATAACCAAGCACGGCGAGATAGACTAGGTGAGGTGTTCCAATGTTTGCAACCGTGGTGAGGGATATTCCTTTCATTTTTGCCTGCCAAGGGATCAATGCCAATTACTGCGACAAAGCCCTGCAAGGACCGGAGAGAAGCTTGTGCTCGTCAGCTGGAACTTGGCCATCTTGCGCATGTGAGAGTTCGGAGCAAACAGTCCGTTTTGGCCGTGTTGGGGATCAGCGATCGGCGTAGACACAACGACACAGCAGCCACCCAAGGTGTTAACTAGGTACCAACGGCGACTTGACTGTGATGCTGACGCTATACAATGTTGAAGTAATTGATACCACGGAGTACAGCATCGATTGACGTCAATCGACGGGGCTGGCATCAGACAGAGCCCGGAAAATTCTACCGTAGCCCAGGTAACATGTAAGATGGGGTGCGCCAAATCCAGTTCCTGAGGGCGCTGGCCAATGACTGGGAGCAGCATGGCCATGCATGACATTTGGCTTGCGCAAATACTTTGACGGGGTTATTCAACCGGGCCGAAGAAGAACTGATGGATGTGATCTTGGGTGGCATGGATCCAAGTAGTGCCGATGTGAGAGAGGGTGAGATAAAGGCAGGCTTCGTTGGGTTGAATTTTCAAATCCGCGTTTGCATGGGATTGTTTCCGATTCCTTTGCTTCGTTGGATGGCTTAGACGATGCTTCTACGTGGTACAAGCCAGCCACATGATGCTCCTCTGCCGGGTTATTGCGTGAGACATTTACTGATCCTTCTTTCTTGCCTGAGGCCGTGTGTACTGTCAGCTACCTATACTCAAGGGATTGCGAAATAAAGGCCAGAGGCTCAAGGGGATCAGGTATTGAGATGCAAGCTTGCAAAGGTGAGAGGAAGCAGTTGAGACTTGGTGTATGCTGCTGCTTTTAGCGATCTGTAGGTACTGGATACCTGGAAACGTGGATTTGGTATCGATGTTTGCCACATAAAGCACATACGTAACAAGTACTCATACCTAGAGGTGCCCACTCCTCTCTGCACTTGGAAAACTTTAGATGCATGGAGACGCGCGACCCAGTCGACTTTTGTTATCGATAAGCGTATTCCCTTTGCCAAGGACCTTTTTTTCCTTTTCGATGCCAATCGCGGCGGCGACGAGCTTCATCACCCTGTCGCCTTGGGGGAGCCGCGCATCGCCATGGAATCGTCGCAAGATTTCAATTCTCTCCAGGAGGAGATCCAAAAGTCTCTCATCTCGACCATCAAGTCGGCCAATCGCATCGCATCGCACGACCTGAGCTTCCAGCGCACCGTCAACCCAGATGTCGCCGAGCAGCTCGATGACAAGACGTCGCGCATTCTTGACCTCTCGACGCGGCTTCTGAGCTCGGCGGCTCGAGCCTGTGGCCTGAAGCCGCTCAAGCTGGAAGACCCTGAAGATGTGGACATGAATTGGCGCAAAGTGGTGGATGTCGTCGACTCTGTTCTGGAAAAGGCAGATCGGGCCATCGATGAGTATACCGGACTGGTCAAACAAAGAGAGAATGGAGATTCAGATTCCGTGAGTCCGCTCCAGCTCAATCTTGTGGCATATAGCTCTAACTTTTCATCGCAAAACAAGAACTCAAAGGCAAAGCAACCCAAGTCGACCGGTAAAGTCATCCGCAACGCCAACGTGAAGAAGCCACAGCTGGACTTTGAAGTCAAACCGAACAACTTTCCGGATGGGCCATGGAAGCCCCTGTTGACGGAAAAACCTCACGCAGAGGTATCTCTAGATGACAGCCTTGTCACTTTTGTTGGAGACAATGGAGCGCCTCAGTATGTTTGCGCCAACATCATTCAGCGCATATCGCTCTCCTCACTAACGACTCTCTCTTTCACTCTAGATACAAACACCCGTATGAACCGGAGATATCGAGTATGCAGTACCCCGATCGAGTATTCCAGATCCTGGACCCCATACCGCCTCAACCAGTCGAGTCAACCGCAGCCATGTGGGTAGATACGTACGAGGGTGTTGTCGAGATGCTGCGGGAGTTGAAAGACGCAAAAGAAATTGCGGTTGATTTAGAGCATCACGATTTTAGGACTTATGTTGGGCTCGTCTCCTTGTTGCAGATCAGCACTAGAGAAAAGGACTGGATTGTCGATACACTGAAACCATGGCGGCATAAGCTTCAAGTTCTCAACGAGGTCTTTGCTGATCCTACCATTGTCAAAGTAAGAGTTTTCTCCAATATTTGTTTTGATTGTCGCTAATCATCCTCATTAGGTCTTTCACGGTGCATATATGGACATGGTTTGGCTTCAGCGAGATCTTGGGCTCTATGTTAATGGCCTCTTCGACACATTCTTCGCAAGCGATGCTTTACATTATTCCAGCAAGAGCTTGGCATTCCTCCTCTCCAAATTCGTCAACTTTGAGGCCGACAAGCGATATCAGTTGGCTGATTGGAGGATGCGGTATGTTCCCGGAACTTAATCTCTGACTTATTATGGTGTTTATTAATGTCTGCTAGGCCCCTCCCTGAAGAGATGTTGTATTACGCTCGCTCAGATACCCACTACCTACTCTACATTTACGACAGAATTCGAAACGATCTGGTCCAGTTATCGGACCGAAGCACCCCTGAGAAAGACCTTATCAGCATTGTTCTGAAAAAATCGCGAGAGCTTTCCCTTTCACGTCATGAGAACCTTGAATTTAATTCAGAAACTGGCGAAGGGTCTAGGGGTTGGTTCAACTACGTCTTGAAGAACTCGCATCTTGGCTACAAGAGTGATCAGTTCGCTGTATTCAGGACTCTTTGGAAATGGCGAGACGTGACGGCGCGCGCAGAAGACGAGAACCCTAACTTCGTGCTTGGTACTAACAGTCTGACCGAAATTGCACGCGCTAACCCTCCGGATGCCAAGGCCCTTCACAGTCTACTACCGCTTACTGCTCCCCTGGCCCGTTCCAAGGTGAATGAGATTTGGAGTCAGATACAAGAGGAAAAGGCAAAGGCGGGACCGACTCTTTTGCAGTTTTTTATTGCCCGAGATCCGTCATCACAGCAAAGGGCGGGAGTTCCTAGGGTAACAAAGACCCAAGGTCAACCTGCAAAATTGGAAGCAGCTGCCACGGCTACAAAGCTGCAACGCTCGCAGCTATTTGGAAATGTCGCTGTTAGCTCAAGATGGGATGAAACAAAAGGAGCGGCTCCTGTACAAGAAGATTACTTCCCCTTCCCTTGGCAACGGTTTGTTGAAGACGCTACAGACTTTGTTGTTGGAGCCCAGCCTGTCCAAGAAATCCCAGCAGCAACAGAAGAACCGACAAGACCAGCAGCCACCGCCCCCGCCGCCGAAGATGAGAAGGACGAAGAGTTCACCTTGCGCAGAGGAAGAAAGAGAAAATCCGACGCCGTTGAAAATGACGAGCCGTCATCTAGTGAAGGCGAAGAGATGCAAGATAATGCCATGAATGAAAACGCCGTCATTGAGATGGAGGATGAAGCCGTCTCCCCCAGGTCCGCCAAGAGGGCGAAGAAACTAGTGAAGAAGCAGAAGAAGAAGGAGAAGAGAGACGCAGCCAAGGTGGCCCAGGAGCAGCAACGCTTGGAACTTCGTACTCTGCGACAAGAAAAGCTTGCTCGTGAAGAGCAGCAGAAGAATCAACAACCTCAAGCGGGCGCATACCAAGCTGTTCCTTTTGACTACAGCAAAGCAGCATCTGTTCTTCATGCCAAGAGGGACGAAGCCAAGGAGTTAACTCAAGAAGATAAGAAGAAGGTATTTGACCCGTATTCGAAGACGGGCGATGATGAGATTAAACCGGCAAGACGGATGCCAGCAATCAGGGGCGAGAAAAGTGCTACATTCAAGAAGTGAAACGAATATTCAAGCTGGGTTTGGTTACATGCATAGATTAATAGCATTGGCCATGAATTGGGAATACAGGCAGAGACTGGCGTTGTATATAGGTAGCTGAATAGGGAATGGACTATTTCAGAGCTTCTCTTTTTAAGAGCACATGATCCTTTGAGTAATTGCAGAGTGAATTGTGGCGATGATTGTATGCCTATGAACATAGCATGGAGCTATCCCAAAGCACGCGTAAATGATACAGATGTAGAGCTTTGGCACATATATGGTTGTTAAACATGGCCTCTTCTTGTGCAAATTATATAAGCTACTTTTCTACATGTTAGCAGACGAATATCGTGTGGGTTCATGGGAGAATTTCCAGGTTCCAAGGTTATTAACCTATCAGTAACCTGGCAGATGCGGCAGAGAATCACACTTTACGCAGCACATCTGCATCACAACTTTGCCCGATCAAGGCTCGTGGCCTGATGGATCGTCTGACAGCAACCCTCCCTCCTCCGTCTCTTCCATATCAACTTACCACACGCGACTCTTTACCTCTGCTGCAAAACCATTAGCCTCAGTACAGGCATGCTGTCACTGGTTGGTGGCTTCGGCAACCTCCAGCCATGGCTTAAACTCAATGCTGCCAACAGCAACCCCTTTCATCGCACTGCACTGCAACACTCGCCGCCCAGCAATTTCCGATGACCAAGGAAATTCTTGCATCCTGGTTTCGAATCATTCGATACGGGCTCAATTCACGGAGAATTTTCCCCCCAAATGCATGGCTGATGTAACCTTCTTGCATTTTTCATCAGGAGAGGTCATGTGACTCGTGAGGGGAATCGTGAGGGGAAGGCATCTCGACTGCACGTCTTTCGTCTTCCCTTTCTGCTGATTTGTTCATTTACCACGCATCTTCCATTCGTATAACGGGAGAGGACCTGTCGAATGCTGCGATTTTGATTGTTTGAGCAGCGCCACGATGGTTGAAGGACTTTGGTTCTTTGGACCGGGATGGCAGCGGTAGGTGATGCACGGGTATTGTGACGCGTGAATGATTGTGGGGGTTTTTCTTGAATCGTCTGTAAAAGTCGCATTCTGCTAACATTGAGTAGGAATGTCCTACGTCTGCAAGTGGAGGCGGATTCGAATGGAAATATCGTTCGAGAAATTGATCACCAATTCGGTTGCTCTCCAGAGTGTCAACACGAGTGCATGAAGTGTTTCAGTCCACTTGGCCCAAAACGACACCATCGCATCTGGGATGATGAAAATGCAGACGCAAAAAGATGAGGTTTCAATGGAAAGAGAGCCTCCGGATTCCTGATTTCCTCGTTTCTCGATTCGAGCAATCCGGAGCCAAGGTGACCATTGATGGTAGTCGGGTCAATTTCTGTCGTCTTGACTCTGCGTGCGAGTTTATCAAGGCAAACTTCACACCAGCCCATGGCGATTTATCGAATCAGTCCGCCCATGTGTTCAGGAAAGGAGTGACATCGAAGGCGCCGCATATACCATTCCAGAGAGGATGTCGGTCCTGCTATCGCACATGGCGAATTACTCAAAAGACTTCCATTCCTGGTCGGCAACACACGGCTTTTCGGAACCTGTCACAGTCACCCAATATATCATGCCTCAAAGAGTCAGATATACTCTTCATATTAAAACGTCTGTGAACAACTGCTGGTCAACCGGGAGCCAGCTGGTATATATGATCCTGCTCTACGCCTGATCCTGATCCACTATGGGGCACAAGACTCGTTCTTCTCCTTATCTCGCTTAAATCCACCAAATCACCAAAGGCCATTATTCCCCAGTCCACTCATGATACAAGCACGTCAGCTTTCAGTGAAGCACAAGACCAGGACAAACCCCTCCCCCACTACCAGAGGCACTCTAACACCGTGTGGAGCAATTCGTCTCTTCAGTTTGTGGACACCTTGGTTGAAATATCACGCACATCATAGCCCTCAGGCCTCACCAAGTCGGTGAAGGCTGAAAATTACAGCGTTGGTGTGAGCTTACTGCCTGTATAATCATAGTTATTATACACGGTAGGAGCTCTGTCTACAGAATCTTCAGCTTGCTCATCCGCCGTCTTAATGAGGCTACTTCGAAATACGTGAAGACAAAGAAAGAGAACAAAAAAACACCCCGATACTCATACAGCAGTAACAAGTGTTACCATTTTATCAATATTACCGCACTGGTCAACGTCAAAGATTGATCATGTCAAAGCTCTTCATTTAAGAGCAGGAATAAATTGAGGCTTTTTTTATTTTACAATCGACTCCGTGAAGGAGCATGATGGGCTTTACCCAAGATCTATGAGATAGAGGACGCCATTTTCATCGATGGCCACCTTCCCCAACCTCTAACACCGTCTATGATGCATCGTCTTCCACGTTTTATTGTGCACGTTGGCACCCCAATTGCATTTGACAAACCATCAAACTCCAAGTGGCGGACGGTCCAACGTCGTCCCCTTATATTAATTGCTCCATCCACTGGCCGGAGCTTTTCCAATCTCTCGAGAGGCAATTTAGGTCTATGGGGCGATGGGTTAGAAATTGACTCAAACTCATATATATCTCGGTAAACCTCGGCAAAACTTACGAACTTGGCCATCAGGGCAATCATGAGGTCGAAAAGAGCGATGGCCTCAACGAAAGCGAAACCCAGAATGGCATAAGAGAAGAGCTGGCCACGGAGAGCGGGGTTGCGGGCAACACCGTTGATGAGGGCAGCGAAAACGACACCGATACCAACACCAGCACCGGTCAGACCGATGGCAGAAGAACCCATACCCAAGTTCTTGGAGACCTCAACCATGGCCTGGGCGATCTCGGAAGAGTAGGCGCGGCGCTGAGCCTGGAAGGCGTTGCGGCCAGCAGCCTGGATGGTCTGGCGCTTCATGGCCTGCATGGGGCTGCCTTTACACGAATTGATGTCAGCCATTGATTCAGTCGATTGAATTATGCTACGGGACTCTCTCTGGAGGATCGAAATGCTTCAACCCGGGGTCCATTGCTGCGGGAAAAAAGTTTTCTCTTGACTCACCGGTGGTGATGGTGCGCTTGGCAGCGGCGAGAGGAGCACGCATGGCAGGGCGAGCAGCCTTGGTGGCCATCTGGGAGGCCAGGCGGGAGGCGAAGACACGGGAGGCCATTGTGATGGTTTGAGGAGGGATTGGAAGGTTGGACTGGAAGGGATGGATGGAGTGAGGCAAAGGTCAAGCAAGTCTGGAGGAAGAAGGAGAGAGAAAAAGAGAACTGGAGCTGGATGGAGGAATGGCAAGAAAAGAGGACCCACCTCGAGGATTGGCCTAGGGGCATGAGGGAGGTCAGCCGGGGCCAAGTTGGACAAACGAGTGAAATTCCCACCGCCGGAGCCAGTGGATGGATGACTGAGGCCGAAGGGGCCATTTGGGTTGGAAAAGCCGTGGTGCAAATCTTAGGACCGGTCAAGGCATGCCACCGATGCTCATCTCGTCCAATCGGGGGAAGCCGGGTACGGATTCACAGCATACTGCAAACAGCCTGAGGCAAGCTTCTTCGTTTGCTGCTTTGCAAGTTTTACAGCCTGAGGCGTCCGTCTTTCTCGACAGATGGTTAGCTACTGTGGGAGCCGAAACCTTGGAGTTGCCGGCATTCCAATGAAGAGCAAAGGGTGCTTGTCAGTGGCCATTGACGTTGATGCCAAAACGCCATTGGCTTCATTCAAAGTGTCTATTGGCAGCACGGCAAAGAGTCGTTGGTGCGAACCTTAATCGAACCAAACATATGTCAACCACCACCACCACCATCACAATCAACTTTCTACGACGCAACAACTCCCCCCCTCTTCTACATGATGCTGGAGGTTGGTGGTTGACCGGTGCCATGGATTATGGATTATGGGCTGCCGGCAAGGCCAAGAAAATTTTTCTGCTTTGTTGCTGTCTGAGGCACAAAGAAAAGATCGACTAGGCAAATTCTGATACTCCTATATGGATCGACTTTATCAGATGGAGAATTTTTGCCGCGTTCAGATAGCATGAGGTTCTACGACTGGATGAGGCTTGTTGGCGCAAGCCCCCACGCCCCACTTGGCGTCAGTGTTGGGAGCCGTGCAAAAAGATACGATACGAGGTATGTAGGGTAAGTGGCCCCGGTGGATTAGGTATTGACCAGGGGTTTACGATCTAAGAGTTTTAGTCCACCAGAGAATACATTAAAAATCTC